GTGCTGAAACCTCCTGGGGGAGGGTGTCACTCAAACGCAGTGGCTCGGAAGAGGAGCCAGGTAAGGCAGACATGGGGATGACAGCCAAAGGAAGGTACGTGGAATCCATGAGTGCTTCCTTGGAGGCCACCCAGTCTCTCAAGGAAGTGCGCACAGGCTGAGTGTTCTAGGGAGAAGAGCCAGCTTATGAGGGAGAGATCACACTGAAGCAGGGTTGGTTGGGTATAGGGGAGCTCTTTATACCCACAGGGGTCTCTGGCTAAAGGTGGATGTGTTCATAAAGGCAAGATAATTGGTTGATCCATGCCTTTACAGACCCAAATGGCTGGGTCAGGAGGCCACACTTTGAGCATACTCATGAGTTCGAAGTTGCAGTTAGCTTGTTTATATTTAGTCGTGACAGACAGCATTAATGTGTATTAATATCCCTATCATCAAAGCACGACTCAAGCCGAACTCCTGGCTCTGAGTGTGCACTGTGTGCACGGTGACTCTGCTCATAGAGAGGTTAACTTGTGTTTCTGAATTATTGATGGTTGCTTGTTACTAATTTTTTTCCTCAGAAAGGGAGGAAATTATTAATGAAGAGATCATTGCCAATGTGTCTGACATCTATTAATGGTTTCATCTTGCAACCAGATTAAAAGAGACAGCTGGTCCATGAATTTATGCGTGGTGGCAGCTCCAAACACGCTGACTGCTCCTCAGGAGGTGGGACTCATGGGTGGCAGTATCTGGCATCCATGTGGGCATCTCTTGATTGGCACAGCTCTGTGTTAGGGCTAGCATCAGAGGCTTCACTACAGAAAGAGCAAACTTCATATGACCTCTCTGCTAACATTGTTCCCACGAGCATGCTAGCTATGCCACTTACTCACTGGCACTTCCTTCAGGAGTGTGTTAAAACAGAGATTCCCAATCTGCACACGCATCAGAATCCCCTGGCAAGCTGTCCAATAACAGAATCTTAGGCCCCACTCCCAGTTTTTCCAAAGGGTTAGGGTAGGGCCTGAAAACTTGGATTCAAATGTGTTCCCAGGAGAGAGAGAGAGAGAGAGAGAGAGAGAGAGAGAGAGAGAGAGAGAGAGAGAGAGAGAGGGAGGGAGGGAGGGAGGGAGGGAGGGAGGGAGGGAGGGAGGGAGGGAGGGAGGGAGGGAGGGAGGGAGGGAGGGAGGGAGAGAGAGAGAGAGAGAGAGAGAGAGAGAGAGAGAGAGAGGTATTCCCCATTTGCAAGTGAGTTTTAGGTCAATGGTGTCAGACTCTTCTGTGAGACTTGTATCTAAAGAAAGGCACACTTTTTCTATAAAGGTAAGGACAGTAAGGGCATGGCTGCCTATGCAAAATAGGAACAGCCAAATGCAACATGTCAGCAAATAAATGAGTCTGTGTGCCAATAAAGCTTTATTAATAAAAGCAGGCAGTGGGCTAGATATGAGTCATGGCAGTGGTTTGTTCACGTCTGCTCTATAGCAGTGTTAACAGACATCTATGTAAAAAAAAGTCCACAAGTAATGTGTATGGTCACGACACAAAATTTTGTAACATAGATACTGGAGAGGTGTGGCAACCTCTGCTATAGAGCGGTGTTAATAGAGTTTTCTATTAGCTAACATTTGTAGCTTCTGAGCACTTAAGATATTAGAGAGGCTCTGACTGAAATTTCATGAATTACAACCTAAGTAGCAAGTGGTTACTTGTGTCTCAGAAAGAGAAGGGCGTCTATCCATGGCATGTGAGGGGGCATTTAGTGCCTTTTTACACAGGCTCTTGTTTTCCTGGTCTCCGTTTCTTCATCTGTAAGATGGGGATGAAATAGGAGCCACAGTTTCCTCATCTGTAAGATGGGGATAAAATAGGAGCCACATCACTGACCTCTCCGCGTGGGCGAATGAGGTGCTTTGACCTTGAGTGTCTTTCCCGGTCACTGGTGGGCTGGGTGGCCTAACGAGTCTAGAGAAGAGCGCATCTCTGTGCTTTACTGCCTTCTCTTTATCCAGGAGGGCAAAAGTCACTGCTCAGGCTGCAGTGCCGCCTGTGGTCCCCAGCACACAGGGCAGGTGCAGCTCACTGTAACAGGGCCCTCCAGGTTTCCCACTCCCTGGAAACTGCCCAGATGAAGAGACCGGAAGTGACAGCCTGTGAACACTGTTGATCCCTGCTAGGGTTGGGAGGGAAGTCACTGTGCAGCTAGGGAAACTAAGACATCTAAAAATCTTGTATCCCGTAGGGCTAATGGAATAATGTCCTAGAGGATGAGAGGCCTTCTGGTTAAGGAGCACTGACAGGTGATGCTGGGTGGACTGCCCCCTCCCTCTAGCCGTCACAAGACCGTACGGTTTCCTTTAGCACTGGTACAGAGTCTGCCTTGAGCTAGGGGCCAAGATGAAGGCACACCGTGGCTGGGCAGGCTGATGGAGTCAAACGGCTGCTTCTTCTCTCTAACCGGATACCTCTCAGCTCTCTGTACTGCCCACGAAGGAGCTGAGGGATTCTCTGGACCCTGCCCCCCCAAAAAAAACTGGCTCTAAGAAGATACTTAAAGCACCACTGACTTTGTACCAGCTCCCTTCACCCCACCCCTTCCTTTAAGCTCCTCTGCCCACAGCTCTGTGTGAGGCATCCGGATGCATTTTGGGAACGGTCTTCCAGGACAGATGAGTGGAGAGAGGGCACCTCCCAGGTGGCACACACAGCGGGCCTTGACAACAGATCTGCTGACCAAATTTCTCAAAGAGAAACTTACCTCTGCCAGGGAAGTGAGACAGGATGGACTTCCAGGCAGAGGGAGTGGTTGGTGCAGAGGGGCAGTGAGGCCAGATGCCAAAGCTCACTAGTCTGTAGGTGGAGCACAGGGTCTGAGAAGCAGAGCACTGGATGACAAACAAGAGGACCCTGGTTTGTGACCCCGCATCTGGGCAAGCAAGGCTGGTGCTGTAATCAGATAATGCTCCAGTAGTCTGCCATCAAGAAATAGGATTACTTTCTGTGGGGGCCATATGACCCCCACTGAGACTTTGGAACCTTGGCTACAGTGATGTAACATCCTGTAGGATGGGCTCAAGCCATGGAGGAGGGTGTGTGTGTGGAAGATGACCTGAGAACTGCTGTTGAGGGAATGAATTGACAGGGGCCCAGGGGAGCTGGTACAAGTTATAAGCTGGACACCTTAGTGGCTTAGAGACTCCTCCATCCCTCCTGGGTCAGCCTCTGCCGTCAGCCATGGTTGAATCACAGCTGCGGGCTGGGGTCAGACTTCTTTTCAGGCTGCATTATAATTCATCTATCTAAGGCTAGGCCTGGATAGAGGCTGGATGGATCAAACAGTTGGCACTTTAGCTTTGAGCAGAAGGGATCTTCTATTCTCACTGTTCCCAAGGGTCAAGCATCCTGTGGCACCAGAGAATAGCAAAGGCTGTGGTACCCAGTCAAGTGCACCATCAATAATAACAAAAGAAAAAAGGAAAATTAGGGACCTCCAAGGCAGATTGCAATAGGTCTAATTCCTAGGCTTCCCACACATACCACATACCCCTCTCCCTGGAGTGAGGGCTGAGAAGCAGGATTTGGGGTGAGGGAAGAGGATCCTCTCCCCTGGGAGAGTGCTTTGACCAGGCAAGCTTGGGAGGCACTGGCACTGGACAGCCTCGTCCTAGTGTTTATCCTGAGGAAAGTGATGGCTGTGAGGTGGTGATTGGTAGTTCCCAGCCAGGTAGAAACAGTTGCGTGGAATTACAGGTGTGGGCAGTGAGACATAAATGAGCTCATGTTAAATAAAATCGTCCATCTAGGTAGACCTGAGTCCCGTGAGGCTCTTCACACTCTCTGCCAAAGCAGCTCAGACCCATAGCCCCTGGAAGTTGAATGTAGCCAGGGGCCCCAAAAGTGGGGCACCAGGGCCTCTGGGTCAGACTCAACCCAGCTGCTCCCTCTTCCTTGTTTGGGATGCTAATAAGGGAGTGGAGAGGAAGGAGGGCTTTGGAACAGGAAGCAAAGTCCTTACAAAATGGGAATCCCTTAAGCATCTTTAGGTGTCCTAATCCCTGGCTTTCAGAAACAAGACCGGCATCACTCCCCTGGTGGCAGTCTCTTCCATGGGATCCCGGAGCCCAAGCCTGTGGGCTGTGACAGGCACTGCCCTATGATCTATGGTTTTAGATTTTTCAGCCCCAACCATGTCTTTGTTCAGACAAGGACGAAAAAGGGGAAAGCTACATGATTCTCTCTTAAGAAAGGGAGAGTAGGGGAGGCAGCCAGGGAAGGGGGTGAGATCCCCACACCTGTGTGTGGGGTGGAGTTAGGGACAACAGAAAGAGAGAGATGCCGTGATTTAGATGGGGTGTGTTGGACTGCTGACTAGGTGATGGGAAGAGGGAGGGGAAGGGAGAGAGGGGAAGAGAAGAGAGAATATGAATATGAATATAAGAGAGAATCTTAGGGTGTGCCAGAGACCTTTCAACAGCGGTCCCCAGTTTTGCAAAGAAGCACCCCTCCTCAATTCGCAGTCCCACAGCATCCAGAGTTGATAGGACCGCTCCCCTCTCGTCCCCTCACTGCCCCCAGTTACCTGTTCCCCCACCCACCCCTACTTCAAAGGCTGTTCCAGGTTTCTCTCCTCCCCCATTGCTTCGCTTTGCTTCGTACCTGCTCCCCCGCAGGGTAGCCTGTAGAGGATGCTCCGCTGGGTGGCGTGGAGTGGGGCGAAGCAGCGAGTACCCCGCGGATCGTGTGGGTGCAAGAGCGATGTGTGTACGCGCGTGACTGCGCGAGCGGCCCCGAGCCGGCCAGCCCGGGAGAGGGTGCGTGGGGGAGCCCGCGAGTGGCAGCCGCGGGCGTGTGCCAGGCGCGGGCGTGCGCGCAAGGGTGTGTGTGCGCGGCCGAGGCGGAGCGCCCGGGCGGGCGGCGGCGACGGCGGCGGCGTTAGGACTCGGGGGACACCGCCCCCCGGCCCCCGCGTCCCGCCCCCGCCCAGCCTCGCGCCTCAGTTCGCGCGCCGCGCCTGGGCTCGGAGCGCAAAGGCGCCGGCTCCCGCAGACAGAGCTGAGCAAGCCCCGAGAGCCCAGCGGCGCGCACTGCCTGCAGTCGCGTCGGCGATGCGGGGCCGCCCCGCGCCCGCTCCAGTCCCGGCCCCGGCGCCCGCGGGAAGGGGTTGAGCCGCTCGCCGCCCGGATGGGGAGCCTCGGCGCGCTCGCCCTCTGCCTGCTCCGGCTTCTGCTCCTGGGGCTGCAGCGACCGCCGCTGCCCGGTGCCCGAGCGCAGAGCGCCGCAGGTGAGTGCGCCCGCGGGTTCCACGGGCCCCGCGCCCTTCCTCGCAGCCTCAGAGGAGAAAGTTGGGTACGATGGTCAGGAGATGCTAGGGCTGGATGGCCCGAGTCCTGTCCCAGACTCCGGACTTCGCTGCTGCGTCCAGGCGTGCCCAGTCTTGCGCTAGGTCCCCCCTGGCCCCCTAATCGCCTTACTTTCTAGCCTCTCCCTCACCACCCCGGGCGGGAGTAACTTTCCGTGGTTGTTGCGAATTTTTCCACTTGCTGCCTCCCACTTGTCGGAACCTGTCACTCGAGTGTTTTGGGGCGGCGGGATGAGGCTCCGCTTCTCTCGTGGCGGGGAACATTGTCACCCTGGCAGCTTCTCCGGCTGGGCTCGCTCATGGAGTGGGGAGCACAGGTCCTTACCAGGCCGAGGCTGCCAGGGCGGTGGCTTTTCCTTTCTCCTCGGAGACACTGAAGATCATCCAGTCTTGTTCTAAATACGCTGCTCCCCTTAGCCTGTCCTTAACCGGTGGAGGTTCCCATGGAGTGTTTCTGTGAGTGACCCGCACAGCAAACCACCAATTCACCTCGTGGCGCTATCCAGAGTACCCTGCTATGGTCCTTTAAGTGAAGTGGCTTTGATCAGTGAGCTAGTGGGCTTCTGAAAACTTCGGGACATTGTGGGTTTTTCTTTTTTTCTCTTTTTTTTTTTTTTGTTTTTCTTTTTTGGTTTGCCCACAGGCAGGGAACTAGTTCCCTACAGCGTGTCCCGTGTTTTCCTAGTGGTGAGTTGAGCTGAGAAGACCAGACCTGAGGTTCTGTCTGATCACTAAAACCCCACTGGTAGGGCTTCCACTCCAGAGTCCCCCAAAGAGGGAAGGAGAGGTGGGGAGGCGATGCCTCCAAGTTCAGAATCACCTCCAAGTTTCTTAGCGTCTTTGGTTTCCCGGTGACCACATTGAGTTGACATTGTAGGGTCTGAGGCAGGTTAAGACAAGTCCACTGGACTTAGGAAAGGGCTCCTTTTGGATTGCTAAGCAACAGCTGTGCTCACGTAAGAAATCAGGGAAGGAAGAAAGAGGAAGGAAAGACAGAGAGCCTGCTGGAAGTAAGGTCTTTAAACCAGCTGCGTTTGAGATTAAGACCCTCCAGAGTGACATTCCGTTGGAAATGTCTTAGGTTTTCTTCCCTGGCTTGATGTTAAAATGGAAACTGGACACAGGATGTTCGAATGTTCCGGAAAGGACGGATTGTTTCCGTGCCAGGGAAGTTGGGCAAGGAAGACACTCTTTTTGATGTATGTGAAGCTGAAAGGCAGGGACAACAAGAGGGAGGGGGAGAGGCAGCCGCAGCACCATTCTTAAAATGCTGCACAGCTCCATTTCCCTTGCTTTGGGGTCTACCTTAGGTGTGCTGTGTTAGGGAGGTGGCAGAAGCATGCTTGGGGATCCTGAGGACTCGGGTATGATTTATGATTTGGATTTAACTGTTTTCCAAGGCTTGGGTCGCTAGCCTCATGTTAAGAGTACTCACATTCCCGCAAAAGGAACCGGATCAAAAACATTCCATCAGGAGTCTCAGACCTTTTTTTTTTTTTTTTTTTTTTTTTTTGGTAGCAGCTGTAAACCCAGAACCCGCTCTGGAAAGCTGTCCAGGGCTGAATGCACGTCCGTTCCTCAGGCTCCCGCAAGGTGGCGCTCGTCCACAGCTGTTCAATGCAAATCGAGCTGCTTTCATCTCAGGGATAGAACTTCGGTTCAATTTTTAAATGAGTAATGTGTTTATTCAGCAGCCTTTTGTTAAAACATTTAGGGAAGTGTGAGGAGGAAGCACCTTTTCTTTGTTTGCTGTTCGGAACACACGGGGAAGAAAAGCAATTGTGGAGTACAGTTTGGGAAGAAATGGACTGTGAAGACGCCATATGTTTCCTTTGGTTCTACCTGGGCTCTTAGCTTTTGCAAAGCTACAATAGCATATATTTAGCAAGCAGCTGCGTTGTTCCCGGACTCCTTAAAGGAGTGGGATTAGCTTGTCTTGGTGACTTGGTGCGTTCTAAGCCCCACTCATTTATAGAAATGGGGATCTTTTTTCTATACATATCTCGTCCTCTCTCTACTTTAATGTTAACTAGATTGTTTAAACTAGATTCTTCCGGGGATTTACTTACGAACATCTGTAATTGTCGATGCAGTGATTTTTTTTGCAACTGTTGACTTATTAGAACGGACTTATCTTCTTATTTTATTCCTCATTGTGGTATTGTCAGAACCCAAATTTACTATGATTATAACTTTGGTTTCTTTTGAAGTATCTTATTTTAAACTTTCGGCAAGTCTGAGTAAATAATGCATTTTAAAACTCAGTACTGTGTTCTCCATATTCCTTTGATCTGAAGATCCCCGGTCTCAAAAGCAATTTCCATTTGCAAGCTTACATCTAGGACACAGAGGGATGATGCGTTTTGCAGTAACTGTTGGTCGCAGTGTCCAAAAGTCAGAGTCGGAAGCTGTCATCAAAGGCAATTTTCTTCTTCCTCACTCTAATGTGTGTTTCATGAGCCACTGCATTTTTTTTGGTGAGGAATTATAGTAAAAGAAAAAATATTTTAATAACAGTCAGTAAACAGCAAAACATGATTCAGGCTGAGGGAAGCAGACGATGAAATAAACAGATAATGGGATAATTAGTCTCTCTCTATATATATATTGTGAGTTAAACCCAAATCTTACTGGGGACTGACTCAGGGTGGCAGTTGTAAGCAATGCAGTCATTTAACTCGATAATTGCTGCCAGATACCTCTGGGGAACTGTTTTCAGTACAGTTGAATTTTACTTTCTGTTCTAGATTGCTTGATTTGTTTCCTAATAAAAGAACAATTAACGTGCAAACCTGGCTTTGATTCTCTTCCGGCAACAATAGCAAACATGAAATAAATGTAGACTTCCTTCTTGGGTTGCAACCTGTATCCTTCTCTTCTATTCCAGTTCCTTCTTGTTTGTTCTAAGCAGGGTTTCCACAGGCTTCCTACTGCCAGCTGAGATGGTGTCTCCTGTAGTAGTATAACTGTCACCTTTCAGAGCCATGATCAGAGGACATTGCAGCGTCGTTCTTTCAAGCACGGGATACTCCCATGACTCTCTGACTGCGTGTTGCTGTGGAAACAAGAGCATTGCTATGTAGGCAGTGGTCCTTGATAAATATTTATCGATGATGATGAAGAGATGGTAGAGTCTCGAAGCAACCAGGGTGGCGAAGGGGGAATTGTGCTTGGGGGCGGCATGGAGAAAAGAGTCTGAGTGTCAGAGCCTGACGTTGTTCTCGGTTTAAATTCCGCTTCTGCCTTTTGTACTAGCTGTGCCAGATTGGACAGGCTGTTTATCTTCTCAGACCTCCAGCTTCTTATCTGCAAAGTGAGGGTAATTAGAGCCGCCTCACTGGATTGCGGGAGCACTGGGCCTGGAGATGCTTGGAGAGAGAGAAAAGAGTGGGCCCTCCGTCCAGAATGGGCTCTGACTCTGCTGCACTCCCTTGGCATTGGTGTGCACGTCTGTGTGTACCCCAGCTGGGGCTCGGGCGCTTCTGCCAAGATAAATGAGCATTGACAAGGAGGTGGCTGGATTTTCATCATGTCTGTTAGTTTTCCTTCATTCATTTTTTTGGGGGGGTGTTCTCGATTCCCTGCTAACTGTTTTTAGAAAGAGATTTCAAATGAAAACTTCCAGCAGATGATACTAGTCAGTTTGGTTGTTCCAGGGTTTGTGAAAGGGATATTTAGTTGTAAGCACATTTTGACCTTTAATTGGAACCCGCTCAAAAATACATCTGTTTATGATGCTAAAGTATGTGGATTTACCACTGGTCTCTCCTTTTCACATACATTCCTCCTTTATGGTCAGACTCTGTCCCTGCCTCTGTTCCTGTCTCTTCTCAATCTTAGAAATGAAGTGTGTGGTGCTCTGGTCCAATGGGGGAAAGACAGTTTGTGAAGTTGATAAATAAGCAAAGACTAAGAAAACATATTGTAGACTATGGCATTCCCAGGAACAAATAAAAAATCTATGAAAACAAGCTGTGTCCAACAGGTGTTAGGGGAGTTACAAACTCAGAATCAGGTTTAGAAGCCAGCACTGTGTGGTATGAGAATACAGTTAAGGGTGTCTTATGGCATCTGAGAGATGGGGTGGGGGAGGAGAGAGAATAGATACCTGTGGAGTTGGAGAGGAAGGAAGCCATGGGTTTTAAAAGGACTAATAACAATTGGATGTAGTTGAGTGGAACAGTGGTAAATTTTGATTCATAGAGTTGAGTTCAGGTGAGTCAGGGTGACTGGGTAGGGTCATGGAACTGGGGTGGGCTTGCTGAGTGCTTTTATTTATGCAGGGAGAGAGAGACGGGTGGGAAACAGAGAGATGGCAGGGGAAAATGCGAGTTTTAGATTGTGACCATTGTGGCCTGTTTTGCCCCCAGATATCACTGTGATTTTACTTGGCATTCCCTATGTACATATACAAGGAGGGCTGCTCAGCATCCCCATTGGATCCGTCTTCAGTGAGTCACTGATAAATGTTCATGGGTCTGCAGGGTTGGGGACTGGGTGTTTCCTACACTGGAGTGTTAAATGAAGAATGTCTCACACATCCAATCACTGTACATGAGCGGAGTGTGCATAGGGGCATTTGTGGTTTTTGACTATTCATCTTAAATTTTTTTCTTGTGAACGGGAAGGAATAAAAATTAGCCACAGGCCAGGCGGCGGTGGCCCACACCTTTAATCCCAGCACTCGGGAGGCAGAGGCAGGCGGATCTCTGTGAGTTTGAGACCAGCCTGGTCTACAAGAGCCTCCAAAACAATACAGAGAAACCCAGTCTCGAAAAACCAAAAAAAAAAAAAAAATCAGCCACAGCATTTTGACAATTAGCTTGGCAACTTCTTTAAACCATTAAATCTTCACCTGCCATAGGATGAAACTCCCATACTTTTAGGATCTGACCATGAAAATAGGTCCAGAGAAAGATGGG